AGCGCTCCGGCTTCGGGCAGCCCCCGTGCCTCCAGAACCTGCGCCCCCAGCCGGGCACTTCCCCTCCCGAGCTCCGGCGGCGCAGGGTCCGGAGGCACGTGGCTGCCCGAAGACAGTAGCGCTCAGGCAGCCCGGCTCTTAAACAGAGCCGAAGAGTCGGGGAGGAGTAGAGCCGCCATTTTCCTGGACATGTTCGGCTTTTTGGCAATTCCCCCCGGACGGGGGTTTGACTGCCGAAAAGCCGGACATGTCCGGGAAAAAGAGGACATATGGTAACCCTACTCAGGGGCATGACGTTCAGGCCAGAGGGCTCCTGATTCTGGGGAGCCAGCCCTCAGGGCGTTGTGCTGTACCTTAGCTTGTGCATGTGTGAGGTGGGGCTGTGTCTGAGTTCCCTGCAGCTGCACCTCACTGATTTCATTTGTATCCCACAGTCCTGACTAGGAGACCGCCAAACCAAGACCATACAGGGGGACTCTCTTCAGGCAAACACTGGTGTTGGGGTTTTTGTGTTCGTATTGAGCTCTTCCACTGTGCTCTCATCTCATTATTGCCTGCTTCTTGTGACCATCAAAACAGGGCTGTATGCATTTTGGCTGCTCTGCGCAGATCAAATCCGGGTCCTCTCAACATGTACAGCCTTTGTGAATCATATAGGCACCCCCTGAACATCAAAACAGGCCCATTTCCTGCCCACAAGTTCATGAAACTTTCCGTTTCCAGTGATGACACATGACACAAACTTAAATGTCAAAGTGAGGGAGTGTTGTTTAGTGGTTAGACCAGGAGGCTGGGTATGAGGAGATCTGGTGGTTATTCCCAACTCTGCCATGGACTTGCTCTGTGACATTGGGTAAATTACATATTCTCTCTGTGCCTTAATTTACCCATCTGTAAATTGGTGATAATTACCCATTTGGGTAAAATGTTTTTAGATTCTTAGATGAAAGGTGTCATATAAGCACAGACTATTAGTGTTTTATGATTTTGTAGGAGGAATTGAAGGCCAACCTTCAGAATGTTCATAATTTTGATCTCAGTGTCCTGGCTGGAACTACTGCAAAGATACCTTTTCAGTAGTTTATGGTCAGTCCTTAACTCGTAGCACTTTAAAGGAAGGCCAAATTAGTTAATAGAAACATTTAGATTTAGACGAGTAAAAGATTTCTTACTTAAAAAAGGCACCCACTCATTTGAAATGACACTAATGAAAATAAAAATGTAATCAGTGTTACCCAGTCCTACATTTTAATTTGTGTCTGCAATGCAAGGATATTTTACTTTACTGCAAAAGTATGAGGCACACTTTCCCCCTTCTCTTTAGGATCTCCTTTGTCTCTAGTTAATGACATTTACATGATAACAACCCCCCCAGCTTGCAGGAATAAGAAACTGGACAAAACATCTATGTTCAAGGTAAGTTTGATTTTATTGTTGCAACTTATCACCTAAGAATGCTTAGAGGCATAAACATATTGCTCATTTAGGAAACTTCCCAGAGCTTTTCCAAATAAATTATTACACATTGTTACACTTCCAAGGTGATTCTCACAAACTATATATAAACTTAGAATGACAAGAAAAAATAGATGCATCTGAAATTTCTTTTTGTGTATATTTTTCTGGAAGCAGCTCTGTTTAAAAAAAAAGTAAAAAAGTACAGGCAGTTAAAAATTGGAACAATCTTAAAATTTGCTACTTACTTTCAAATGGTTTAATGCTCTTAATTGCTCTTATTGCCCCCTCACCCCACCCCGAAACTAAAAAAGAAAAAAGAAAAGTTTGGTCAGGAGATGAAAAATGAGTAGTAGGATCTTAGCAATAAAATTGTCAGGATATTTATATGTATTAATAAGCATCTGTCATATGGTATAACTTCATTACTATATTTAATTTCTTTTTCTATATTAACTTTGTAATGGCTCCATCTTGTGGCTAATATGTATAATTGAGGAATAACTTTCATTAGAAGTTTCAGAGTGCTAGCCGACTAGTCTAAAAAAAACACCTCAACCACGGGCACAGCTCCGAGCCTGGGGCACTGTTTACACTGGCGCTTTACAGCACTGCAACTTGCTACGCTCAGGGGGGTGTTTTTTCACCCCCCTGAGCGAGAAAGTTACAAAGCTGTTAATTGCTGTTAATTGCCAGTGTAGATAAGCTTGTGCCCAAATAAATTTGTTAGTCTCTAAGGTGCCACAAGGATTCCTCACTGTTTTTTCATTACAAGCTTTGCTTTCAGTGTCTTTTGGCACTACATTTTCTCATTCTTCTTTTATAAGCTCACAATGGGGTATTTTTAAACCAGACAAGTGAAAGCGAAAACCTCATAAGAATCTTGCTGATTTTTAGCTGTTTTTTCTGCTAAGCTGCTTTAATTAAAATAATAAAAAGGGGTATTTTTTTTCTGAACATTTAAGTTAACTCCATTTAGGGGGAGGAGAGAGAACCCTGGACAATTTTCATTCTATTGCATGCAGTTGTAAAAAGGAATAAAAGAAAATGTGGTAATGCCTGATGGGAAATAAAAAATAAAACCGACATTTTTGGTTTTTATGAAAACTTGAACATTTTAAAAAAGATTTTTGCATGTCGCACATTTTCAAAAATGCACTTTTAAAAAAAATTGAATGAAAAATTCAAAACTACTAATGCTCAAAGATTGCACATATATAATACCAATTCTGATGTTATTTGTGTTTCCTATAGATGTTTAAGAGTGATGTTGCTGACCAGCAGTTTAGCCTGGAAACTGCAATTAAAAATATTGATAAAATGTCCAGTGAGTTGAAGAAACTAAATGGTAATTCTGACTGTATCTATCATCAAACTAAAGGGGAAATGACTGAATTGTTTGATGCAATGTTGTTGTAGACGTGTCAGTCCCAGGATATTAGAGACACAAGGCGGGAGAGATAATATGTTTGATGGGACCAACTTCTGGTGGTGAGAGGGAAGCTTTCAAGCTTACACAAAGACAGGTCTGGGAAATGTACTCAGAATGTCACAGTTAAATACAAGGATTGTTTAGTGGTATTTAACACATATTTCAAGCAACCATTCAAGGTGAAGTGGCCTGTTAACACCCCTCCAATCATGGGGGGGAAGGAAGCGAGGATTGAGGAGGGATGTTGGGGGGAGAAGGGGAAGTAAGGAGCTGGGGAGGGGTTATGGATTGTTATATCCAGTGTCTCTATTCAGTCTTTGCTAGATACTAAAACTCATGAACTGAATAGAGACACTGGAATTGTAGCTTTTTATAACAATCTGTAACCCACTAACAGCTCCCCCACCCCCGCCCCAGTTGTCTCCCCCTCTTCCTTTCCCTCCCATGACTGGTGGATTGTTAATGGGCCACTTCACCTTGAGTGGTCCCTTGAAATATATCTATCTACTTATGATAAACAATTTGTTCTACCTTTTATTTAGCTCTGAGTACATTTCCCAGCTGCTAATGAACTCATGCAGATTTTGTGATTATGTTGTTCCTTCTATATAATGAAACAAGAATTTGTCCTCTTATGGTGAAAAATTAATAAAATCATACTTACTGTACAAAATATAGGACCGTATTAATCAAACATGGAAAAGTCCTGCTAGATAACAATTAATTTCTTCAGCAAGTACATATTATAGCTTCCTAACAAAAGATATATAGTAATACACTAATAGCAAATTGTATTTAAATGCGTTAGAGAAATGCTATCATCCTTTTAATTTACAGAAGAGTTAAATGTAGAATACTCTACATTAAAAAAAACCAAACCTCTACAGTAAATTGCCACCCATAAAATACCTGTTATACAGTAAATGTTCATGATTGTATACTGTACTTTTTCTAACAGTGAAAAGCCAACTGCTGCTCTGTGACCTTACTTTGAACTTCAGTCATCCTGTGAAGACCACAGTTTCAAGGGAGGTAGAAGAAAAGAAAACAGATTTTGAGGAATTACAAAATTCCATCAAGTTCCATGCTGATGCTTCCATTAACAATTCTTCTCTTTGAGCCATTAAAATTTCAGCATGGTTTTCTACTCTGGTTGAAATTTTTATAATATGACATTTTGTGTTATCAGAGTATGAAAAGTAGTATCTGAAGAATGTTTCAATGTATGAAAAACAAATATTTGAATAACTCAGAAACAACTAAAATAATAAAAAGGCAAATAATTGGTCCATAGTCTATACATTTTCCAAAATCTCCCTTTTTGTTAAACAGCTGAGGTTGCTGAGAACAGTGACATGGGAAACTAGATGGCTCAGGAAATTGTTTATGGGATATAACGTCTTTCATGTCAAGTTAACTGATCTGAATCAAGACCAATTGGTAACAATTAGAAGTATTTACTACCAGCTAGATCATTGTTTCCCAACTGGGAAAAGTGGTGCTAAACCCAGATGAGCTCAAGGGTAAGAAGACAGCACTGGGAGGGAAGAAAATGGCATGACTCTCAATTTGCCCCACTGTCTTCCTCACTACAAACCTATAGCTACGAGTAAAATAGCAGGTGACTTCTTGAAAGCCATTCCTCTGCCTGTAATGACTCCCTAATGCAGCCAGCTACAAGATACTAACGGAGGGGTAAGGCTGACAAACTTAGATGGAAGACTCAAACCACACACATGCCAGAAAATGGAATTAAATATAAGATCTTAGGCAAACAATGGGACCACTCCTGTTCCTTAATAAGTCAGTCTTGGGCCTAATATTTTTAACTCATTCTGAATTACAGTTTATATTTTAAGACAGAAAATGCCAGTGTTTCATGAAGAATGTGGAATAGGCACCTATCCCAGGCCTATCAGCCCTACCCTGCTTAGTTATCTGCTTCCTGGGTAATGAGTTTGAGTGTAAGCCTGTGGCTTGGTCAGGTGACTAAACATCACATGATGGTAGCCGGGGGTTGTACTTTATATAAAAGTGAGTCTTCTCAGGATGGAAGGAGACAGACCTCCAGGAAGGAGGTGCTTAAAGGGTACCTAACAGCAGAGGGACCTGGGTCTGGGTCTGCTGCACCAGCTAAAGGTAAAGGCCTTACTGGAGCTACCTGCACTGAAGAACAGAAGCAAAATTCCTGAAGAGGGAATTAGGAGGTTCTGAGGAAGGGTAATCCTAGAAGAAAGTAATCTGGACAGGCCAGTGCAGGTGGGTATTTGAAGGGAGATGCCATTTGCACTTGTTTAGGGGTCCAGCCTGTGGCTCCTACTGATGGTCAGAAGAAGTTGATTTTCTCTTGACCTGCATCAAGAGAGTACAATTGGTGGCTGAGCCATGTGATCTCACTCCCCGATCAAACAGGGTAAGACCTGATGCTAGGCGTTGGATGTCTGTCTTTTTTTGTTGAGCTGTTTTCATGTACTGGATCCTGGGAGGGGTGTTTATTTGACATGCACAAAACTCAGGAACAGTTTTTGAGAACTCTGAGAGTAGGGAAACTGAGATAGAGACAGGGTCTATCACCAGATGAGGTGAGACCCAATTACACTGCCATTTTCAGAGCCTGTTCTTTGCAGAAAGGAGTGGGTACAAGGTTATGCGTTGTTGGGACCCAATATATACAGGGAAAGATTTGGGAATGGAAGTTGTCTCTAGATGATGTAGAAGAGGGAACATATACCATATAGACCATTAAATTAACAAGTCACATAGTTCATACCATTATAATAAATGTAGCCAGAAAGTGCAGGTCTCTACTGAAAAGTGGACTGTGACATATGGCATTTTTATTGACTCAATTTACACAAGATTTTTCTAATTTTGTATCAACTTACATAAAATATATCAAAGTAAACAATACAATCTTTCAATACGGATAACAGTCACTAGAAGTTACTCTGTACTGTACAAGCATTATACAGATATTAATTGATTTCAGTTTGCAGCTTAATGTAATTGGTACCATAACCTTGACATGAACAATAGTTTGCATAGTTTTGCTTTATAAGAAAGCAACGTAATTCTCTGCTATGTAAACCACATGTAATCCTATAATATGGAATGGAGAACACTTCACATGCGAGATGGATGTTGAAAAATGACGTCACTCACATGAAGAGTTTTCATGGCAGTGTATGAACAATGTAGAGTAATAAATACATTGTAGAAAGTATTTTGCAAATCTGTTTTTTAAAAACACACTTTAAAATGAGAGAATTATATTTTTTCATTAACATAAAAAAAATTAATTCATAATTTCAGTTCATTGAATACAAATGGAAATATCATGAGGTTTGTATTCTCTTGTAGACCATTGATCCCAGACATTAAGCTTTCTTCTAAGTAGATCCTGCAGCATATGTTAACTTGCATTGGTTTCTTGAACCTCGGTCTTTTCCATCAATCAGCAGAAGGGGTGTTCTTTGAAAGTAATCAATAATATCTGCCACTGAAGAAAAATCCTGTGGATTAAAAACAAAGGGGGTGGGAGGCAGGTGTCGTCAGGATTCTCACTACTTCTCAGGGTAAAGTGATAGTATTTATTTAGACTGTGACTATTTCATGCTCTCTTGTGACTAAGTTTTGGATGAATTGCTGTACTGGAATAGACTATGAGGTCATCTACCACTGCATCAGCATTTGCTTCCAGTACTGGTTTTCCCACCTTGGATATCTCCATGGAACATTCTTGTCCAAAATTTTACCCACCCAATGAAGTTGTGAGGTATTATAAGGCAATCAGTTTTTCTTGAATTTGAGTCACTGGGCCTGATTCTGCTCTTCACTACACCAGTTTGTATCTGGAATAGCTTTAGTGAACTAAGTGACATTCTTCTTGGTAAAACTGCTGGAGACTGGTAAAGGGGGAGGAGGTGATGCAAAGAAAGAAACATACTTTACCTCTTTTCCTTTCAGGCCAGTTCCTAACAAGTAAACTTGATTTTGCTCCTGGTAACGAATCTGAATATTATATACTTTATCTTTGTATAATACCATCAGTACGTATGGATGTGTATTAGTTTTTCTTGAGCTGTCTCTCACCAAGAATGTCCCGTCCTAAAAGAATGCACATGAAAATCAAATCTATTTTTGACCAGCCACGTGAGTAGAATGCTGTTTGTTTCTAAATACACATTCATTCTGGGTTCTAATTTTTCAGAAAGAGCACAATTGCAACCACAGCTTTGAAGAACTTGTTAGACTTTCTTAAAGAAAGAAGCAAAACACAAACAAAGCCTTGCAATCTGCTATCTAAAATGTCCCATTTCAAAGGCTAGTTCAGATGCAGTAATAGTAGTTTTAGAGAGAAAAAATACTCTAATTTTGGGACACTTAGCAAAATGTTAAGGGTGAAATTCTGGCCTTAGCGAAGTCACTGGCAAAACTTCCATTGACTTCAGAGAGACTAGGATTTCAGCCCAAAAGGTGAAACCCATTGGTGTTTTGGGGACTTTTGTACACAGCTGAAAGGGATGCATGCAGTCTGCTACACTTAGAGGTTTAGACAATCTTGGCATGTTCTAGCCTGCTGCATAAGGGGAATTGGGGCCTACTCTATCAGAGTGACTGGGAGGGAAATGGGGAAATGAAATATGCCCCTCCCAGTGAGTGCTGGTTTAAAATATCTTTGGGAAAAGTGGATTAGCTAGAGGGATGCAAGTTTCTTACATAGATGATCTTGCCTCCTGGAGACAAAAGTTTCTATTGAGCTCCCTACCACGTGAAGCTCTCCCCTCATTACTCCATCTTATATATACAAGTTATATTACCACTATGGTCCCCATGGTCTGTGCTGTTTCCTGCAGCTCCCATTGGCCGGGAACGTCGAACCGCAGCCACTGGGAGCTGCAGGCGGCTGTGCCTGCAGGTGGTCAATGTAAACAAACTGTCTCACAGCCCGCCAGCGGATTACTCTGACAGGCCGCTTGCAGCCCACAGGTTACCCACCACTGATCTAGAATAAGGGCTTAATAATCCTTAGGGATCAGCTGAGCCTGGATCCGAGCTGATCTGTGTTGTTTTTTGTTGTATTCTTTGTAATAAGCCACACCCCCAAGAAGTTCAGACTTTGGTATGTGTGAACTGTGTTTTTAGAATAGTTTAAGAAAGGTACCTATTTGTGCTTAGTCTCTTCTATACTGATCCAAGTTTTTAATAGCCCTCTGGTAATGCACTGCCAATCTGAACACTGTATGCTTAATCAGTCTGTGTAAGTACCTTTTTGTTTTTGTGTGTGTGTGCACGTGCACACACCACCACTACCTCTCCCCCGCCACACACACATATAGGATGTGCCATGACATTTTGCAGGCACATTGATAGTGGCCTGGAGAAAACCTGGACTAGAATCTCTTTATGTAAAAGTTGTGTTCATTCACTTTTTCTATATGAATGCAAAGATATATATCAGGACAAAAACCATTTAAACAATGTGCCAAGAATTTCTATATCCATTTAAGGGTAACTGCTAACACTGTACCTTATTTATATTCCTAAGAGCTGCTTCTGCTTCCTGCCGGCTGATGTCTGCAACATACCACTCTTCATTCAGTGAATCTTGAAACTTTTGTTTTATTTTTTTGGGGGGGAAAGAGGAGAAAGTTGGCTGTCAGTGAATTAATTTATGTGATGTTATAAACATACATGCACAGAAGTAGAGAAGAATTTAAATGGGGGAGGGGAGAGGGAAGTAGTGTATTTCCAGATGCAGGGATGAGCATTTTTAGTTTATTTAATGATTCCAATATTCTCTGAAGGTGTTTGCAAATGCTGCCACCTTGCAAACCAGAGAAGTGAGGACTCTAGGGTTTTGGTAAACATTCTATTTCCTGTGACATTTCTTTGTTATGTCCAGATGAGTCACAGACATCTTAGGTCTCTCCTATTTTTACCATCAGCTGAGTCTAGAACTGTGGCTTGCTGTGGGCTCTCAAGTACTAAACACACACACACACAAACCTGTCTTACATGACTATTCAATGCATTAGCAAAAATCAGGTGCTAAGTGGAGGTGGTCTTCAAAGAAATATGGAGTAAAACTGTACTAAGAGACCGAATTTTCTTTTCTCACCCAATTTAGGTTGGTTTATTTGAGAGGAGAATTGAGTCCAAAGCATCTGAGGGTACTTCAGGGCAGCTTTGCAAGACAGAAAGTGGTCTAGTAAACTTCATTGTACCTTCTGACTGTTTCACTGTACATGTTTTGTTGTATTTTCACTCCTCTTTTGCTTGGTGAAGACCAAGTAAGGAACAAAGGTTGGACATCACAAGGGAAACCAACAGCAAATGCAAGAGTGTATACCAAAGAATAACTGCTGACTAGAAAACCAATTTAGGAAAAAAATGGTCTCACATTTAGTTGATTTGCTGTGCAAAGTGATTAGGATTATCACGATTCATGCCTCCCCATATTGGGGGCCACAGTCTAAAGGGGATGACATGTGACTGCCCCACACGTCTCCTCTGGCCAGCGAGCCCCCCTGCCCTGTTCTCCCTGCTCCACCAGAGTTACCTGACCGGGAGCGGGGGAGGGTGCTCTGTCCTTCTCCCGCTGTGCCTTCCCCCAGGCATGTTCGACTGCTCTCCTTGGCAACCAGGCCCGGGTGAGGAGCAGGATGGAGCTGCTTCTCATGTGGCTGAAGCCAGTCGCTATGGGTCACTGCTGTGTGCAGCACGGCAACTGCCTGAGAGACAGCCCATCTGGGAAGTGGTGGCAGTGGTGGGTCGCTCCCTGCCCAGGCTCAGCGCTGGGGGATGGGTTGAGTGAGCCAGAAATGGGCTGTGGGGAGAGGGGCTTTCTCTCAGGCAGCCATACTGCACAGAGCAATGAGACCCTGAGTGGCCAGTGTGAGAAGTGGCTGGTCCTGCCTCTTCTGCTCCTGGCCTGGACTGGCTCTGAGGGACAGGGGCTGAGCATGTCGCGGGGCAGGTACAACAGGAGAAGGGAGCCCCATTTCCTCTCCCACCAAAGGCCAAGCAAAATCTGGGGAGGGGACACTTGACCCCATATACCACTCCCACCTCTGAGTCCCATTATTATACCTCGTCTTCCTCCATGCTTGGTGGCTGCACAATCTGCCTGTTAGGAATTGGTAATGGAGGTCTGCCATCTGCTGGGCCTTTTGAAGGAGCTCTATTGATGTTACCTTTAAAGTTCCAGAATAAATTTAAATTAAAAACAGAAAGATAAAACTTAGTCTATGCAGCAGATATTAGTGTTGTTTAGGACTTTGATTCTTAGTCATATCAAGGCCTCTTTATACCACTCAGGCAGCATAAGGGGCCTTAAAGTGGGTGAAAATTATACTCACGCTCAGTGTAATTGAGAATCTGACCTAGATTTCTTTATGTAATGGGACAAATTCATCCTCAGTATACATGAGGGTCACTCCCATGGACTTTAAAGGAACTTCAGTAGCTATGGATGCCTCAAAGGCAACTGTATTTGAAATAGGAATTACAGATGATGAACTGTATCTCAATTATTTAATTATGACAGTATCTTCAGTTACCCTAATTACAGCTAACCTGAACTTCTACAGTTACAAACCACAAGGTCGCCCTGCTAGAAGTTTATAAAATTGTATTGGACAGAGAAAAAAATTGCTCCTTTTTTTTTCTCTCTTTGTGGAAACCCTGAACAGTTTAAATGGTAACAGCTACCAGTGTTGAACATTGTTGAATGTTATGCCAAGAGATTATTATTTTCAATGTTGCTTATTTTTAATTACAGTATTTTTGCCAATTAAATATGTAGCTGAGACAAACTTTATTTCACCTTGGAAATGTTTTTCATACCAGCCAAGGTATTGGTGTAGTATTATTCACCCTACCATCACACACATCATTATTGGAATGATATAATCACATGGGACCTTCAGAATGAATGTAGTCAATGGATAGTAATCTGAGACTAGTGCTTTCAAATTTTAGCTCTAGTGAAGCAAACACTTATATCAAATTTTGTCGGTGCCTTAACTAAATAGACAGCAGTGTCAAAATTTAACAAGGAAAAAAAACCCCATCTTAAACATAGACTAAATGAACGAAAGAAGTTAACTAACCGATGCTTAAAGTGGTCTGAAAAAGTTAGGGGGTCTATCATAATCTGGGAGTAGCAGTTCTGGTAAAATGATGCTTTTCCCTCCAGAGACCCTTGTGGTGCTGCTGCAGGAGTAAGGAGACAGACCGGAGCATCTAATATGCAAATAAAATGCATTCTTTACTCCTGGTGGGGTGGGTATGTGCCTCCCCCCTCACCCACCCACTTTAAGCACTGTACTTGATAGTTTTTTTATTGCTATTAAATTCAGAAGCTGAACATCCATGACAGATATCATGCGCTGCAACCATAAGACTTCATTACATTTGGAGTGGAAATACAGGCTCACAGAATACAAACCTAGCTGAAAGCGTGGTGGTAGTGATCCACTTGAAGAAAGGCTGTTAGTACTGTTAAAGAAATCAATGAAATTGAAGTTTAACACACATAGGGTATGTTGCTATAATTATATTATTTAATGTTTTATACTGTGGCAGCTCCCAGAGGCACAGATCCATACCTGGGCCCCTTTGTGCTACATGGCGGTACAAAGATGAAAGCATACATAGTGCATGTCCCCAGAGGGTTCCATTCTCCTTTCTTTTTAGCACCCATGGCAGATAAAGATATCCTAGTCTGCCCCGTATGAAAATTCACATGGTAATTAAGGTCAGTATTAACTCTCCTTGAGGCCTGGCACTTGGAGATAAGGTGCAGAGGGGCAGGGGACAGTCCATGGCACTACTACTCCTATAGGGACCATTTCAGGATCAGTACAATTGGAACCTAATTTCCCTCTAGAACCTATATCTCTGTTGAGTTTCCAGCCCATGACCCCTCCCAAGCCCTTTCCTCATAAGGGGAGTATATGAAGCAAAATTACAAGCTGTTACTGATTCTGGAATTTCCCCCAAACTTCCCCCCTTCTGTGTTTTCTCTCTCCTCCCCCCCCCCCCCGCCTTGGCTGAAGAACAAGCATCACTAAAACATTCAAGTTCCAGGAGGTGCAAAAACTTGACAAGAGCTGTGCCAGTGACTGAGTTCACACTTCTAGTCTCATCTATACTTAGTTTGTTCTGCTCTTGCTGAACTATTCAGCCCCTCTTTATAAGCTCTATAAAGGCCTTTTCAGCTTCCTGTTAGAAATTTCTATAATTGAAACCAGCTCTCTTGGCAGTCCCAAAATGACAGCAGCCAAAGGCAACAATGAGTTTATCAGATCTTATCTCTTTTTCCCCGAAAAGTTTCACCTCACTAAGAACCCACCGCCAAGGGCTCCTCTTTTCCAGTGTCCAAATGAATTTCTCTTTGGATGTACTGCAAAAAAGGCTCTGAGTAAAATGTATATCACCATAGTGTCTCAGGCTCTTCTTTTAAGAAGAGGCATCACATTTTGGATGTCCAACTGTAAACACCTAAATTCTGACTTTTTTTTTAAAATAGGGGCTGAGTACCCACAATTCCAGTTGAAGTCAATGGGAACTGCAAATGCTACAGTAATGCCTAGAATCCCCCTTCTGGGATCAGGACCCCATTGAGATAGGCACTGTACAGATATATAATAAGACTCTGTCCTCAAAAGAGTTTACAATCTCAATAGATAAGGCAGACAAAGAATGGGAGAAATAGATAAATGCCTTTAGTGGGGCACTCAAAAATTGAAGGAGCCAAAATTAGAGCCTAATTGTAGTTCATACCAAAGAGGTCCTAATATAGTCCTCTCTTAATGTAGAATTAAGAAAGTATCCTAGTGTATCTGATATGTATTGTCTGTATCTTTGGATTATATAGAGACTTAAGGTCTTGAGTATGATGGCTTTACAGCATTGGGGGATTCCCCTAAAATGGTGGAAACAGCCCAAAGCAAGCAGAGGGGAGCTAAGGATCTGGCCTGTAGATATTAAGCTCCTTGGGTAGTAATCATGTGTTCTTTTGGGTCTTGTACAGCACCATATACACTCTTATTCCTTAACAAGTAATAGATCAAAATAAGTGAGACAATAACTAGTGCAACAAACCTTTCTGCATATGATCCAGGCATACTGTTGGATCCTGAAGGACTGTGTTTAGGTGGTGGCTTGACAGACCTTGAAGGGAATGTGTTGGAGCTGAAGGGGGGCAAAGATAGCTGTGGTGCTGGTCTCTGGGGGATTGCTGTGAAGAGGAAAAGTAGAGCTAGCTAAAAATATTAGCATGAGGTTACCATAGTACTCGTAAAAGCAGCTTGTAAAGAGGGGTGAAGTGAACTAATACTATCACACTGCAGAGGGCCGTCTAATCAGATACAAGCAATGGAGCAATCTGTTATTAAAATGCCCTTCAGAACAATATACTCGGTCTTGGAATATGAACTTACTGATGGAAGCTGGTTTATTCTTGTGTGTTCATTTTAGAGGTGGAAAATTCAGTAGAAAATTTCCAGTTTTTTTAATCCTGTTTGCTTCTGAAACATTAAATAAGCTACAGCCCAGCTTTAGAAACCCCATTAACTAAAATATAACATTAAAATTAAAGACAAAGTCCCCTAGTCAGCTTTCTCTGCCATGGCATTGCTGACCATTGGATTTGAGACTTCTGTATTGCGCATATTCCCACTCAGGGATTTGTGTTCTGACGCCATCTTCATTGTATAGGTCCGCAGACAATTGGGCTACCACGCCAAAGATCCATAGCATGAGAAACTTGCTCTCCTTTGGCATTACTCTCAGCCTGAGTTGAACTGGCAATAAGGGTGGAGGTTCAGAATGTGAATTCAGATCAGAATTGTGTAAATGGCCTCAATTTTTAATGGGATGAACCAAAACTCTGATATAGTCAACCTTAGACTTTGGCATGTTGAAAAGCAAAAAGTGAATTTTGCAGCTTTAGTTCATATCCATTATTTTTGTTATAAAGCATTATATAGCATCTCAGGGACTGTGAGGTGGGGTAACTTATACATGCTGTTATTATTATTTGAGCCAAATACTACTCTCTTTGCTCACGAGTCATTAGGACTATCCTCACATGAAGTTGATAGCACTATGTGTTGGAAGAATGCAAGCAGGGTTTGGCCAATTATCTTATAGTAGATCAAGAGGTCACTAGGTTTTCATTCCTGCTTTTTAGGTGCTCAATGGAAATAACTGTACAGATATATACTAAGTTCATGGTTAATAAATTGCTAATATGCTCCAACTTCCTGTTTTTTGTGGCTTCATTACTTAAGTTTGTATGAGATTTTTGACGATTTCTACAATCTGTCAAGTTATGCAGTGTTACCTTTTTTATTTTATAGTAGTAACTATAAATAGATCTTCTCAGTGTTTCATTTGAGCTTTTTAACAGAGAGAGAATGTAAAAGAAGTTTTTAAGTACTTACACTCATCTTCCTGGGGAGAGAGGGGAAAAAACAACAACAATGAACATTAAGAGGTTTATAATATCATAACTCGTAAAAATTATCTCTTTATAAAAGCTACAATAGAAAAGTCAGTGATTTTTGAGTATGCAGGTAATTCAAGATGAGTTGCCTACACTTACCTAATACATTGATATATTTGTCTTTGTGAAACACCAAATTAATTTTTAATTGTGGAACTGAGGCAAGGAGATCACAAGTCTAGATTTTCAAAAGTGAGTAATAATTTAGGTGCGTCAATTTTTGGGTGCTTAACTTGAAACAGCTTAAAGAGATCAGGGGGCAGAACTTCAGCTGAGGTAAATTGTCATAGTTTCCAGAGCAGATGTTCAGCACTCTCTGAAAATCAGGTTCCTTTAAGATATATCAAATCGGAGAGCCCAAAACTGGGGTATACAAAATCACTAGTAACTTAAAAAATAAAAATCTGGGCCTTGACTCTGCCTTTTCTTTATAATGCCTCTAATATCTAAAATAACATATCCAGGGATTAAACTGTCCTGGAGCAAATTTGTATGGAGGAAACTGATTGAAAGTGAAGCTCTGTGCTAAGAAGGAACTACAGGAGAACCTCAGTTACAAATAGCTCAAGAATGGAGAGTTGTTCATAACTCTGAACATTTTGTAACTCTGAACAAAACATTATGGTTGTTGTTTCAAAAGTTAACAACAGAACATTGACATAATACAGCTTTGAAACTTTACTATGCAGAAGAAAAATGCTGCTTTTAACCACCTTCATTTAAATAAAACAAGCATAGAAACAGTTTCCTTACCTTGTCAAATCTTTTTTAAACTTTCCCTTTATTTTTTAGTAGTTTACATTTAACACAGTAATAAACTGTACAATATTTGCTTTTTTTGTCTCTGCCACCTGATTGAGTACTTCCGATTCCAAATGAGATGTGTGTGGTTGATTGATCAGTTTGTAACTCTGGTATTCGTAACTTTGAGGTTCTACTGCATGAGTATTTAAAGGAACCAGTCCATGTTAAACAGAACTACCAGCTTACCAGCAAATTTTATAATTCTATTGTAACACATTAAAATCTTCTAACTGTAAAATAGTGTTTGCTCTGAAATATACTTACATCATATCTTCTTTCTGGTGCCCAACCTTGCCTAAAATGAAGTAGATGAAGAAACCAAATGTGAATTTTAGATGTAGAAAGTGTGAAAGAATGACACTTTATCCATATGTATAGTGGGACATGTTTTCAGCTGAGACTTAAGCTGATGTCAGTTTTTGCAGACAAAAATAAATATGGGTATCAGTTTTAACCAGCAATTTCTTTTAATCGTTTAGATATAAGTTTTTGATTTGCAGCCACAAGAAGGTACTTGGATGTCCAAGCCCTGAACCTGTAATGAGCTTTGCAGAGATTCAGGGGTCCATCTGTGTGGAATTTATTGCATGGTTGGGGCTTAATTGATCTACATTTCAAGTGAAATAGTGCACCTGCTGTGTTCCTCACACAAAAATGGAGTTTGAATATCTGGCCTTAAACTTCAACTGAATGATGAAAATATTAGTTGTTGCCATGGAGCCCTTAGCCACATTGTCGTAGCTGAGGGCAGGCTTATATGAAGATATCTGGTCTCCTTCCTAGTATTTTGACTGCTGGTTGGTTAGCAGACCTCATAGTATGTTTCTTTTATATGGTGTACAGCCCTATCAAGAAGCTTTCTAAGAAAGGCCAGCTCTTGCTAAAGGAAGTTTTTTGCCAAGAATTCAGGGATTTGCAGGGTGACCGAGCTGGCCTAGCTGTGGGGAAGAAATGAAAGCTTTCTCCCTCCACCATATCATAAAAGGGATATGGAGGTGAGGGTTGAGTTTGGTAGTCAGGATAATGAGAAAAAAAGCCTTCTAGGAAGAAGGCTAGAGCTGATGGGAGAATCATGGATAACATTCCTTTTCCCTTCTAGAACTTGGCTGAAGTGAGCCATACTTTGGGCCTTAACTGTGGCCTTTTGAGTGAGGCAAGCCCTGCTGTATTTGTGTTTGGCCCTTAAAAAGGCAGAGCTTTTTCACATTACAATAAAGTGGGCATCACTGCAACACTCTTAGGTAGTGGTGTCTCTACCGACATTGACTAATTATGTTTTCCAGATTGTTGTTGAAAATAGTTAAAAATAGTTGTGTTAACATTTAAAAATAAATGTTTACTTTACGGGTGGTGGCTTCCTTCCAGGGACTGTATTGCCTCTTTCATATTTATCGGCTGGTGGTATGGGAGGCTTTTGTATCTTTGCTAACTGTTCTCCCAGAGATCTAAAATACAAGAGAGAGGTGGTGCAGCAAAGGTCAAATGCTCTTTACTGCAATATAATTTGGTAACACTGATAGTGTATGTCACCCAGAGGCTAATGTCTTACCTTAGTTGTGGTGCCATGGGCTGTAAAACATAAGGAAAAGTTACAAGAACATATAAGTATGTTTTAAAATAGATCTAGGTACAATAAGAACCAACCAAATGGACTCTTACCTTGTCAGGAAACACTGCCCTTTTCCCTGAAAAGAATAAAAAACAACACTTAATAAAAAAAAAAAACGTAGATAATTCATTATAAGTTCTGTGAAATAGTGGAGGCTCACCAGGCCTGGCTTTGATACCTTTTCTGGTGCAAAATGAACTTAGCATGAACAGATACTGACCTGCTGCTGGGCTGTCTCTTTCAAACGTTGGCCCAGGACGATCCAGTGTGGGTTTTGTACGTCTGTCTATAGAAGGAGCTGGGGCTAAACATAAATACTGTGTAAAATATTGTGCTAATACAAGTAACACACCTTTATTTTGTATTGTATCTGTCACAATCTGGTATCCCTTCTCAGGGTTGCCAGCAATATCATTAAGGCTCATAAATAGTTAAGGTTGGCTGAATTTTGTGTTTGCTTTTTTATAATGTTGATGGACGATATCAATGTTTTAAAGCATTTTAAAATATTTTATTCTAAATTTTCAGTTGCACAAAATTATGGGGGATGTCAGACAATGGAGGGGTCAGACTAATTATTTCATGATGATAGACACTGACATTCAAAAAGTTAAAGCTTTATAGCCATTAAAACACAAATGGTCAAAATATACAAAATAAATATCCTTAAATCAAACTTTAAGTTCTTAGACAAAGTAAGAAATTCTGCTTATCTGTAAATGTTGATTATTATCAATGGAAATATTTTTTTTCCATTGCTTTTGGGGAGTCAGCAAGGGGTGTGTCCACCTCACACAAGGCCTGAAGGGGTTAAGGTGACCAGGTAGGCCAATTAACTGCCTAGGCTGCACCTGGAGGAGGAGCCAGGCAGCAGGGATTAATTAGAGCAGTGGTTCCCAAACTTTAACTACTTGTGAACCTCTTTCACTAAAATGTCAAGTCTCGTGAACCCCCTCCTAAAAAAATTAATATTTCCAGGGATTTTCTCCTTTACTTGAGTATAAAATATAAAACAGTGATCTTGGAAATATAACATTTGTTTTATGACATGATTATTACACATTATTTATTATTATTATTTATCATTGCAGTATTTTTATTACATTATGAAAACGGCAACACTTCCAAGATCTCACTTTCGTAGCTTGTGTCACTTTGAATGAGCCTGTTATAAGACAAGGCTCCTATGTTTCATCAAGGAGTATCAGATGTGAAACAGCATGAAGGTATTTAAGAAGCCAACTCAAAGAGTTCCTCCTACACAAGCATTCAGGTCTTGAGGAGTCCAGGCAAACAACGCACATTACAACAAAGCCTAAACTTGTTCTTCATAATAATTTTAAAAACAATACTAGCTGCCTATTTAATTTTAAAAACAACAAAAAATATCCACGTCCCTTTCCATTTCTTATAAAGAGTCTTGAAGTTTTAATCTCCTTGCTTTGATCTGCTTAGCTCTTGGAAGTCCAGGGACTCCGGGCCGCTGGCCCTGTGCTGCCTGGGATCCCTAGGGACGGCTATGTCCACCATTAGGGAATTTTTTTCCTGAGATCCCCCTGTAACATTTCGCGAACCCCCAGGGGTTCACGAACCCCTGTTTGGGAACCACTGAATTAGAGACAAGACTCAGCTGGGCAGGAGCAGGAGGAGCCTGTATAAAGCCCAGATGATTGGGGCGGATTTTGCAGGGAAGTAGTTTGCAGTTGCTCCCTGTGAGGAGGGAATTTGGGCTGGCAAACCAGAGGGGGGGTCAGAAAGGTAAGAGAGGCTTGGGGGAAAACAGCATGGTGTGGGATAGGGCATACATTGGCTGCTGATGAGACGACCCCTGGGCAGGAACCTGGAGAAGAAGATGGGATTGGGTTCCCCTCCCAGCCACTGGGGAAGTGGCACAGACCAGGCAGTAAAGAGCGATCTGCCAGGGGCAATTTGTGCTAGAAGACTTTGATACCCCAGAAGAATAAGCAGGAGCTCCTGGAGCCAGAGGGGGGCTGCAGGCTAAGAGACACAGAGTACAACTGCAGACAGGGCATCGGCCTGGCAGAACAAATTCCCAGCACTACCAGGAGGCGGTGCCATCCAGCGGTGAGTAGAGCACCCCATCACAGGGGGATAGAGATACTAACACAGCTCTAGCTGGAGACCATGAAAATATGCATTATGCCATAGCTTAAAAAAACACAGACAAATATTTTCACTTACGTTTTAAAGGCTTGGCACTTTTATCTCTATTCATATCATTATTGCTTGATGGAGGAGGGTAAGGTGACATCTAAAACAAATGTTTTTTTCAAATGATTAAAGTCTTCTCTACATGTACAGAGTTCAAGGATTTTCATCTTATCCTCTGTGGCCATTGAATACATTACCAAAATCACCTTGCCACAGCTGTCAACCTGTGCATCTGTTAGAGCCCGAAGGGCCATTAGGGTGTCTCCCCGCCCCCCACACACACCCATTGCAGAATTCTATCCAGGTAAAAGGCCTTTTCTGGCAACTGCAGCATTGGCTTTGTCATCTCTCTGCCCCTTTGCAGGAAACCCTTAGTGCAGAGTTCATTCCAGGGTGGGTTGGGAGCATGTCAGGGGCAGGGAGGAGTAGCTAGAATAGTCTTGCTTAACTCCTGATGCAGAGTTTTGTGCATATAAATTCAAGGTCAAAAAGGATGAGCAGACTAAGGAGAGCACGGGAGCCTAGTCTTGCATTAAGGAGAGAGCTGCTGTGTCAGGGGCTGTCAAGTTCCTAGTGGCAGGACTGAGACCAAAGAGAGGAATGTATTGCTGAGTATCTCATGAAAACGATGAAGGTGATTGCACTTAAGCCTGTGTTTCTTCAGACACACCTATTCTTGCCGGAGTTTCATTATATGGACTTCCAAGTAATGGAGGCGAGAGGTACAGCAGACTTCATACCACTCAGTAGGGAGTTTGGTGCTTACTGATTAGCTTTACTTGTATCCATGTATAGCTTTCATGCACATTTGTGCTGGAATACAGAGAGTTTGTATAACCAGCTCAGTGCTTGCAAGATGATGATCAAAGCCTTAATCTGCCAAATTAGGGAAAGGGTAGTTCTGTTAACCCAATGGATGTTGACAAATTCTGAATGTATCTAAGAAAACTATCCAGCCTTCAGCAGGGGAGGGCAATGACACTTGCTTTATCCTTAACTTTGGTGAGTCAGTTCAGTGCTCTTACCTTTCCATCTCATTCAGCGCCAGATCCTGTAAACCCTTCCCCCTCCATGGAGTGCTGCCAAATTCAATGGGAAGGCCAATGGAAGTGAGGGTTTTCAAGATCAAGCCCTCTTGGGGAAAGCTGGAGTACTGCTAAGCAAGGTGTTCAAAGGCTACAATTTTCTTGAGAATTGGCTAATGGTCACTAATTGCCAGTGTATATGGCAACCTTGCAGTATGAAACAATTTCCATATATTTGTTTCACAAAAAAGAATGAATCATTTTAGCAAAAAATAATTATTCTTACAGCCAAAATAATTTTCCTCCTCTTTCTAAACACACAATCATTATGTTGGACATGGAATTATACTTGGGCCTTCTAGGAGATAATGCAAAGGAAACAAATGAAGTATTGTTTAAGAAAAGAAACATACAGGAGTGCCTCTACCCGGATATGCTGCTGGTACAGGGGATGGGCCAGGTCGCTGTGGTGGAATAGGAGGCTGGGGAGATGGTCTAGCAGTTGTGGGTCTATCTAAAAAAATAAAAATAAAAATCACAAACTGAACAGTTAAACACACAAAAAAGGTTATTTTCTTTCTCTCTCATTAGATCTTCATTCTTAAGTTTAGTTTATGGTTATGTAATTTTACATTACATGAAGAATCCAATTTTGCTGTGTTACATCTCTGTAAATCCACAGTGACTCTGGCAACGGTTGTTTTACTTTCTTTGTCCTTTTTATGCCTGACGACTTGAATGTCACTCTGGTATTGCACACACACATACCGGGCTCAGTTCTCTATTGGCCTGCACTTTATGTAGTGATTCACACCACTGCAAAGTAAGTATAAAATACACCAGTCCAGATGGTAGAGTTTTGCACTGAAGTAAATGACCTCACAAGTGTAGGCCAATGTAGAATCAGAACTAGAAAATGACAAATGTATGCATGATATGCTCTGGGACCAAGTCAACTCCACACAGAAGTGGTATAAACTTATAATACTTACACCTATTTTCACAGTATCTTGCACTAGTTACATAGTGTAACACCATACTAAATGGGGGGAAATGTGTGTTTATCTTGATGCAGATCCCAAACTAAAGTCCCAGCCTTGATCCTACTGAAGACCAGGGCAAAATTCAGTGACCTGTTTGGTTGGTTGGTTGGTTTGCTTGTTTGTTTTAAAGAGAAACAAACCTTCTGGCATTTTTCTTTCTATGACTCATTTTTTAGCATGTGCTTAACTTAACATGTATATTCATTAAGACTGCTCATGGGCTTAATTGCTTTGCCTACAACTAATAAGGCCTCTATCCAGCAAAGTGAACTCCTAAGCTGTCCCTTCAATATGCCTAAACGTCAGTGTGGTAAGACCAGAAGTTTAATGCTTTTTCTCTTAGTTGCCAGTCTCAGAAGACATCCCAGAGTTTCCACAAATTTGTATTTTTCAATAAAAAGACATTTAGAAAATCCACAAATAGGTCTAATGAAAGGCTCTATATTCTATTACCAATTCCCTAAAATATCCCATCCCTTCCAAAATTACATTTTGCACTAGTTACCTATGTACTCAGTGTTGCTTGGAATTGACTTGGCAGGAAATATGACATTATGGGGTGCTACATCATTGTTGGATGGAGGAGGTTCATAATCATCACTGTCATGTCCTGGTTCATCAGTTGGTGATTCATAGTCAGCGTCTTGTTCCTGTTCCTCATCTGGGCTTTCATAATCATCTTCTTCTTCCTGCCATATGCAAGTGAAAAACAGACAATGATTATATACTACATAACTTAATGCAGTGAGCTTGTGTTTTTTATATGATAGTGTCTTTCATCGTGCAGGATACCAAATTTTATCACCGGCACTCAGGAATTGTTTCATCCCTTCATCAAATGAAGTGATGGAGTGTGTCAACAGTTACACAGAGCATAACACTGCACCGCAGTTTAGGATAGGAAATGAATATCCTTTTACAATAGGAACTCCAGAGGAAACTTAACAAGAGAGATAATTACTTAGTTGATTTTTTTTTCTCTCTAGACTCTCATACCAGAGCCATCTCCCAAGCCACTAAGATTAAAGAAAGTCACAGGGGATGTACAGGACCTCAGTTTTATATCTCATCCAACCGATGTTAAAAGGTGCCTCCTAGCACCAAGCTGGGGCAATCATTCAGTGGTGCACTCTTCCTTAATGCTCCTTCCTGTGAAAGCATGTCTTTGTTCGGGGCTTTGTAGCCCCTAATGCAGGCAATTATGTGGTTCTGACCCAGCCCAAATAGGTATAGTTTGTGAGATCTGATAGGACGTGATGGGCAACCTGCAGCCTGCGGGCCACATGCAACCCATCAGGGTAATCTGATTGCGGGCCGCGAGACATTTTGCTGATGTCGACCGTCCACAGGCACTGCCCCCCGCAGCTCCCAGTAGCCGGGGTTCTCTGTTCCCAGCCAATGGGAGCTGTGGGGAGTGGCACCTGCAGGCAAAGGGGCCGCGGGGATGTGCTGTCCCTGATCTAGAACTTGTCACTGATCTGTAAATGGTGTAATATTCAGTGTAATTTCTCACCAACCTAGAGGATGGAAGTTTCAAAAATGCTGAGAACTGGGCTAACTCTGCTCCCACTGAAGTCCATGATAAAACTCCCATTGACTTCAAGGGTGTAGAATTAGGCCAGCACTGAGTGCTTTTGAAACTCCCAGCACATTCTCTTCTTTCCCCTTCTGTTGGGAGTGTATAGCACAGGAATTGATGGAGCTTAAGGGAACAGAGAATCTGCTTTGAGTGTTAAGTGATCTAAAACATGATTCTTACAAATGAAGACCAGCCTTCTTCCTCTTCTTGACAGCATCCTGTGTAAGAAAACATAACCGTGGACCTGTTAGCACATGTTGGCTTCAGAGTACCAAAGCCTCATCAGGTAAAAAGGCACTAAGTTTCACAAATAGCGACCATTAGAGAATCAAAATAACAGACCAGTTTGCCCAAGGAGAGGGATGTGTCCAGCTCCCATGGCAGCCAACAGGAATTATGTGCTCATATTTGCAGTTACCTTCTGGTTGAAGGGTATTAGTTGAACATCCCTTGTGTGTCATGATTTCTGCTGTGACTGATGTCTACACTGCCAAGTTTTTTCGCCAAAAGTTATACCACTTATATTAAAGCGCTTTAATTAAACCACTGTTGCATGTCCTTGCTATGCTCCTTGTGTCACTGGAGTGCATCCACACTAGCAGCTCTTGCAATGACACAGAGAGCAATGCACTGTGGTAGCTATCCCACTGTGCATCTGGTCGCAGGGTGCTTTGGGAAGGGTTTGCAATGCCTCATGTGGCAGGTACAGCGACACATGATGCAGGTTTCTCAATCCCATTGTTCCATGGGCATCCTACTAGATTGCTAGATGCTTTTCAACTGAAGTGTGTGGGGGAGAGTGTGTGACAGGGAGTGTGAGAGTATGGAGGGGACGGGGAAGGAGACAGACAGTGTATGTTGCCGGAGAGTGAGTGTGTTAGTCTCTAAGGTGCCACAAGTACTCCTGTTGTTTGTGTCAGCATGCTGTCTCCTAAGTTCAGACAGCTGTCGAAAGCAACCTGTTCTGAGGCAGGGGGAGGGGAAAACCCTGACATCAGCCCCCCACCTCTCTCCCTGGCTCTGCACAGCACATAGTATGTGTGTGTCTGTCTCTCACACACACACACACACACACACACACACACACACACACACACACACACACACACACACACACACTCTGCCTGCCTGCCATTATGTTCTTAGTGGGGGAGACAGCAGGAGCATTCCATGTTAATCATTTGCTTTGTGTCCTGCAGCAGAGCATCACAGCACACCAGCTGTCAGAATGGAGCTTTGAAAGGGGAGGGGCACATGCCTTCATGGCTGCTGAGTTCAAAACAATGAGCAGAGCAGTCACTGCAGGCATTGTGGAACACCTCCAGAGGTCAATTACAGTGATAAAAGCAAGCAAGGTATTTACACTGGCACTTTGGGGATAAAATCTTTGGACATGCTCGTCGAGGGGGTTTTATTATAGCGCTTTAACAGGAGTTTCCTCGCAAAATGTGTACACCTCTGCTGTTTCATGACCAAAAGCTGCCTTTTGGCAAAAAAAACTTGGCAGTGTAGACCAGGCCTGAGATGTGTCCTACCCTTCAAGATTTAAATGCTAGTTGAAGAATAAAGCATTCAGAACTGACTCAGCTGTTAACCTCTCATCCCATGCTTTATCTTGTTGCTAATATGGAAAGTTGGGTGCAGAGCTGGGCAATTTTTTTTATTCAAATACTAGTTTTTTCAACTGAAAAGCATTTTGGGGGGGTCTCTGTACATATTTGTGTATTCTGGTCCAATCTGCAAATAGTTTTGGCTGAAGGGAAAAAAAACTTCAAGAAAATTGTTTATTTCAACAAAATGAATTTTGACTTTTTTATTCAACAAAAATTTTGAAGAAAAATTTAGTTTCAGTTCAAATCTGAATGGAGTTTTTTCCAGAATTTTTTCAGTTTGGTCCCTGAACAAACAATCCATTATTGGCTCCGCTCTAGTTAACCCATTTTCAATAGGACCAATGGGGGAGTAGTAACCCGTGGAAGTACAGGTGCTCTTGGCCCAGCTAGTAAAATGTTTAAAATGGAAGCTCAGTGCAGGGAAGCCGTGTGGAAGCTGCTTAGCCCATAAATGAAGTCTAGCTGCAAAGAGAGGAGGACATTGTGCCTTAGAGGTTCAATAGTCACATGAATGCTCCCAGATTGAATCTCTCTCTCTCCATTTTTCTTCCCCCCATTGTTCCTCCATCCCTGCTATTAAAACATCTTTTTGTTAGCTCTCCAGCTTGATGTTCAAGGGGAAATTTGGAGCATCCCCTTGCCAAGAAAACATATCCAAGGACTTTTCTGGCCCAACTGTACCTGTTTACAGAACCTTGTTTTACTCAGTCTAAGAACTTTATTGAATTAAGGTATCAACTAGTGTAATGTTCCTTATTTGGTAACAGACACAACCCAAGCAGTTCTAACATGAGATTGCATCACTCTGCACACACCCCACCCACATCCTGCTGGCATGTGCTACTCCCAAGTCGATTAAAGGCACCATCTTCAATAGCCTCCAGCATTTGGGTGTGTTTGGATCTGAGGTTTTCCTTCATACTCATCTCTAATATCAACAATAATTTAGCTCATTAAGTTGCAGTTAATCCTGAAAGTTCTTGGACAGATGTATTATCCAATGTAGAGCTAAACTCAAGGTAGATGAGATCTATGAGCATAAATATTTATAAAAGAATTTTTGAATGAAGACAGTTGGATGGCAATTACTGTAAATAAACCATACAAGCAGCTAATTAATATTTTAATCTTTTCAAATACTATGTGTATTTAGATAGCAAGTAGATATTTACCTGTATTGTCAGCAAACTTCTGCGTCTGGGTCCTGTGATGACATTACAAATTTTTTTCACATTTTAATGATTATGAACTAAATATGTCTAAGTTTAGTAAAAGCTATAGCATAATTAGAGTTGAAAATAGTCTTCCATTATACAAGTGAGCTTGATTTTGACCCTCTTCCCTACTAACTTTTGCCAAAAAGCTAAAAATAAACTGCCTGAAGTTTCATAAAGCTGATCCTAATCCAGGCTAGATTATTTTGAAAAAAGTTTGAGGCACATTAGTGTGTGTGTGTGTGTGTGTGTGAAATGTTTGAGAATTTTGGCATCTCATCTCATTTTCTGAGCCTTCGTCTATGTGGCCCATTAAAGTCAGTGGGAAATATTCACTGTCATACAGTTAAGTACGTAAGTGCTTTCAGGAGTGGGGCCTATTCTTGTCATACTTAATTTTGATCAAGTTTGGCCTAAAAACTTCACAGCCTTGCACCTGTGGTCAATTGCACAAGTAGTTAATTACACATGTACAAAGTGGTTGTAAAACCATGCTACCCAGATCATGATGATGATGCTCTATAGTCATTTTGCACCAGTGGCAATCAGGGCTAGCTCCAGGCACCAGCCCAGCAAGCAGGTGCTTGGGGCGGCCAAGGGGAAGGGGCGGCATGTTGGGCTGTTCCGCAGCAATTCGGTGGCAGGTCCCTCTCAGAGGGAAGCACCTGCTGCCGAATTCCCGCCGAAGAAGAGCTGCCGCTGGAGTGCCACCTATCACGATTGGGATCGCGGCTTTTTTTTTTTCCACTTGGGGCGGCAAAAACCCTGGAGCCAGTCCTGGTGGCAATGACTACAAAAGGCGTGGGGCAATGGGAAGCCAGGGGACTCCAAATGTGGGTTTTGGCAAGGACCAGTGCATTTTGATAATTTCAACCAAGGTTTATAGGATAAATAATTTAGTTAATAGTGGTTTATGTTTATATTGTGGTGCCTACTGCATTTATAAAATCTGTACTGTCTAAGAGGGCTCAATGTCAGGGGCTACTCTCATCAGCTGGGGAGCAGGAGGGAGACACCCACATGTAGGGTTGAAGGGGTTAGTTTGGGGATTGAAGGGTCCATTGTGAAGTCTGGAGTTACTATTTTAGCTATTGTAGCATGGCAGTTGTGTTTTCATAATACTCCTTTCTTTATGGTGACTCCAGTACAAAAGGTTCCTCAAATGACCCATTGGGAACCTTTTCTTGAACTCTCCATCCCAAGAATCCCATCATGGATGTTTAGGGACTGGTGACTTGAAAAATAAAATTCAGAGAGAAATTCAGCCAAATTTATCATAGTAGCTGAGATATTTTTCAGAGCTCTGTAGAACATTTTGACAAATTATCAATTAAAAATTATCTATTAAATCACCTGAACAGCTTAGAAAACTCTCAAGCAATAATGAATGAGAGATTCCATATTTTATTACAATAGAACACAGACCCTCACTATATTAATAACTTTGCTAATTTTTGAACCTGCTGATGCTCATTCAAAAATATTCAAAATAAATCTAAAGCAGTCTCATGCCTTTTCTTACCAAAGATGTAATATCAACATCCTCTAGAGACATCTCCTATTAAGGTTTTCTTAATTTTATCCATCTGAAATATAGTATACTGATATACATTTACTTGTATATTACAATGTATTATAATTTTTATTTTGTTTTATTCTTTACAATTTGTCTTTAAAGCACACCTCTGATAGGATATTTACATTAATATTAGCACTATAAACAGCAATAAATAATTGTAATTAGCTTAACTTGCCAAAATATGGCCCAGTGTTATAAACACTCATGCACATGAGTAAATTTGCTCACATGAGTAGTGTGACTGAGCTCAATTGGATTACTCAATCTGAAAGTCCTTGTAGGTTTGGGCTCTTAATGAGGTTGTACTGTATGAATAAGAATAGAAAGAAATTGAAATTCCTTTTTATCATGTTTTCTGAGACTGATTTTGCTATTAAATAACACTGGAGATCTTCTGTTAGCTCAAATGGAAAATCATTCTGAAAAGTTTTGTCTTAATAGTTTGCAAAAGAAAAAGAGGACTGAAAGGTTTACTTACCGTTTTGGGAAGAAACTTATTCTTCCCTCGTTCCTATTGATTTCTTGACTTAACTTACTTAGAATTCTGTTTAAAATAAACAAACAAAAAAACCTCTTATACAAAAATGATTTCCTTAATACCTATCTCCTCTTCTTTTAGTTCAATGCTGCTTTAATTGTTTTTTTCACTTATTTGCTTTTTCTTTTCTTTTTTTAAATTTTATTTTCCTTCCCCTTCCTTTTGGGTAAATAAAATCTATGAATGCAGTGTAGCATTCTCTGCTGCATCACTCGGGTGGTTGATATCTATTCTTATCTCTATGCCTAATGCACTATAATATTTTCATTGTCAAAAACAAAATGGCCAAAAAAATTGAAACGTTGGGAGGGAGCGCACATCAGAATGGGATGCCATGTAACATAATGCTGATTGGTTAAGCATTATCTCACTTGGGCGATCCATGAAGAGGTGAACAGCAAATGCTTCTGCAGAGAAACTTGTGGAGGGGACCCTGGGGCAGAGTGATGGAGTCTTGGAGGGGCTTTCAATGGACCAGAGGAAGTAGGAGCTGAATGAAGGAACTGCTGAGGCTGGTGACATCACAAAAGGTGGGGAGCCTCTGGCAGGAGTGGTTGGTCCAGGTGAGAGATGGAGAGTGAATCTCAAAAGAGGGAGATTTGGGAATGGTGATGGGGCATCATAGGGAACAGGGAACCAGAGGGTCAGAAAGAAGGTCTGGCTGGACTTGCCTGGGGGTAGGGGCTACCTGAGGAAGGGTGGCAGGGCTTCAGCTTTCTGCCCTGGGCCCCAGTGAGTCTAATACCAGTCCTGCTTGGTGGACCCCCCTGAAACCTGCTCGTGGCCCCCAGGTGGCTTCGGACCCCTAGTTGAGAACTGTTGACCCAGATTACATGGAGGTACCTTGAGTTCTGCCCCCTTCTGTCAGGGGCCAACCAAACAGAGTCTTGACTTTTTACAGTCATAATTGTTATATCTGACACACCTACATGAAAAAAAGAACTAGAAGTAGGTTGGATGTTTTTAATTATGTCAAAATTCAAGTCTCAAAAAGTGTTTTCAGCATTTGTGGGACTTTCCTAAGGTTATTTCCTGACCAAAGGCATAAGGTGAATTAAAAATAAGACCATGACTCATCACAACTGTACAACGGTCTTTAAAACAAAATAAAATATTCAAGGGCAGGTTCACTACTGACGTTAGCTAGCACAGCTCTGTTGACTTTAGCAGAGTTGCATCTGCTTACTCATAGACTCATAGACTCATAGACTTTAAGGTCAGAAGGGACCATTATGATCATCTGGTCTGACCCCCTGCATGCTGCAGGCCACAAAACCGTCCCTACCTTTCCCTTGACTCTGCTGATGAAGTCTCCAAATCCTGTGTCTTGGTGACTTCAATTGGCAGAGAACCCTCCTGCTAGCGATCCCTGCCCCATGCTGCGGAGGAAGGCGAAAAACCTCCAGGGCTCAGCCAATCTACCCTGGAGGAAAATTCCTTCCCGACCCCAAATATGGCGATCAGTAAGACCCCGAGCGATCAGTAAGACCCCGAGCTTTGGTGGTGAATTTGGCCCCGAGTCTCAGGGTAGCTCTCACAAAGGCAGCGAGTAAAAATTACTCTCTTGGCTTCCATGGATTCTTGGGTTATTGTTTACTTTACATCATGAGCAATATTTGCATATCTGCTCCCAGATAAAATGTCATTCATGTGACCCATCCCTAATGTTTAGCCTTCAACCCTGGGTGGCAGGGCTTCAGCTTTCTGCCCTGGGCCCCAGTGAGTCTAATACCAGTCCTGCTTGGTGGACCCCCCTGAAACCTGCTCGTGGCCCCCAGGTGTCTTCGGATCCCTAGTTGAGAACTGTTGACCCAGATTACATGGAGGTACCTTGAGTTCTGCCCCCTTCCCTGCTCACAGTGCATAGTTGCCAAGTATGTATGTGGCAGCAGTTCACCAGAGGGGGAGCAGGTCCTCACACTGTCGAATAATCACTCCTAACTCTTCTTATCCTGTCCCTTTTCAGCCAGATTCACCTAATCGGGATCCCTTCCACGAGCAGAAGCAGACAGGATAATCTGGCCTATGTCATGTCCAGCATTTGCAGGCTGTGCCAAAAATATTCATATATATATTCAATATTTTGGGGGCTGAGACACTATGACATATGTAATTTTTCAGTAGTGCATGTGTGCAGCATTAGGGATGGGTCACATGAGTGACATTTTACCTGGGAGCAGATATGCAAATATTGCTCATGATGTAAAGTAAACAATAACCCAAGAATCCATGGAAGCCAAGAGAGTAATTTTTACTTGCTGCCTTTGCGAGAGCTACCCTGAGACTCAGGGCCAAATTCACCACCAATGTAAGCAGATGCAACTCTGCTAAAGTCAACAGAGCAAGTGTCAAATAGTAACTTAGGATAATTAATATTACTTTATCTGAAAAATTAGAAAATGGAGTCATTTGAAGTCATGGACACCCAGCCAACCACCCTGCTACAGTGGGGAAGTGTGATGGATGATGCCGGAAAGCATTAATATTTTCAACCTTCCTTTTCTGCAAGCACGAGTTTGGAGTTTTCTGATTTTTGTGCAGATTTAACACTTGCCCTTTTTAGAATCCCACAAGCAATATCCTTGTTTAAAAGGGATTTGGGTTGGATATGTCTGACATCCTCCCTGACACAAGCTCTAAAAAGCAAGGAAATACCAAGTTTCAGAAAACCTCTTAATTGTGTCAAACAGCCTGTCTCCATGGAGCAACAGACTCTTCATCTTCACAAACTACTTCCTTCTGCTGTAACTGATAAGGAAACTGACTGCACCCAGCCTTCTCCTCTCCCTTAGCATATAACACATACAACTTTACGCACAACCTCAGCAACTATTCCGGGGTAATGTATGTAGACAGGGAAGATATGTTGTGTGTTTGCAGGGAACAGGATTTGAAAACTCATTAATATGGCAAACTTTTTCTTTTATGAGCAGTTCTCTTTTTATATATATACTCTCTTTGGGAGCAGTTTATATTTTCCATTTCTTTTCAGTTTAAGTAGCAAAACAAAGCATCCAGTCTAGCTCCAATAATCTCTATCTAGTCAGAACATCAAAGATACTGGGATTTCTGGCCATGGAGCGCTTGCAGCACTGATCCCCACATTGGCTGCAGAAGGAATTTTCACTGAGCGAAGATTGCAGGACTTGGTGAGCAGTTTGCTCATCTCATCTTGCTGGAATAAATTCATTACTTGCTGCTTCAAGCACTTCCTGCTATATCATTCTTCTCAGATGAAAAATGTTTTTCCCTAGATATAATATTGACATGATCTTTGCTTCTTTCCTTGTTTCTTTGTAGCCCTCCATCTGTCTGTATCCATCTGCTGTTGTTGTATACTCTTTGAGGTAGGGACAGTCTTTGTTCTGCATTTTGTACAGTGCCCAGCACAATGGCCTCTTGGTCCATGACTAGAACTCCTAGGCATCGTAATAATAGAAATAATTCATATATCACAAGCCTTCAGCCAAGGCTTAGCAATGACATGAACAAAACATTGCTTGCTTGCTTTTTCTGAGAACCATGTGCCCTTAGCAACAAATGTTTTTATAGAACATTCAGGCACAGAGACAGCTGGGTCTGCAGCTAGGTAAGGAAGGAAGTATCAAAACCACACTGCTTTTTGAGATGGGAGTAGTGGGTGATAGGACAGGATAAGGCCATGCAGCAACACTTGCAAAAAATGTTACTCTCAGACCATTCTCTCTGCCTTCACCACCAGCCGCTCATCTTAGAATCGGAAGGAAGTTGAAACAAAATCCTCTCAAACCAGCTTGTTTGCCTAATTAACTTCAAACGTTGTGAGTATAAGCAGAGTCCAGCCCAAGAATATTGTGGCCAGAGGTAGGAAGATACATGAGGGAGCTGGGGGCAAAGTCCTACACTCTGGAAATCCCATTCCCTGGGCACAGTGAAGAGAGTATCTGACCTTCTGCCACCTGTGCTCTGCCCCTGGATAACAAGTTCTGCAGGGCAGACACAATAACATCATATTGGGTTCAGAGTTCACTGAAACTCCCAGCTAAATCTCTTCTGTTTCTCCTGCTTCTAGTGAGCATACATGCACGTTAATCCCAGAACATCCATTTTAAAAAGATTGGTCTTTTTTGGTCCCTCAATTTTTGGCACTCAACTTGAGACCATATGCTTTGATGGACAGTCAGCACTTTCTGAAAATCAGGCCACTTTAAAGTTTCTCAAGTTGAGCACCCAAAATAGAGGCATACAAATATGAATTCACATAGGTGAAGACCTTCTCAGGAATTCTGAAGGTGCCATTGGATTCTGTATGCATTAATTGAGAAGAGACCAAGCTGCAGACTTCAAATCTGGGTTTTGATTCAGCCTAATATAGGGACATCAATTGCCATCCCCCTCAGCCTCTTTGTTCTGTATAAAATGCAGCATATCCTCCCCAGTCTTACAGAACCTACTCTGAGTAAAGAATGCATTTTCTGAGCGTTTACAAGTAAATCTGCCAGTTTGTGTTTGAAATTAATATAAAATTGGTCTATTCAAAAATTTTGTATCTGTCAGAATAATGTGAATTATCTTAAAAAGAAAATAACACTTCAAATGTCTCTATAATTAAAATTAATTGAAGTGTTTATGCATAGCGTATATTCATAGAAATTACTTTACAACTGAGCAAAGTTATTAATGATTGATTTATGTAATTGTTAGGATTTTACAGGCTACAGACAGAGGTAAGTCGACAGCTTGGAAAACTCGTAAGTAGGACCATCGTGACATCATTGGCAATTGTTTGGGTTACCTCTCTTCCTCTACTGCTGATTTGCATGCAACAGTTCTATTCCTTGTAATGAGTCAGTGGCATGAGGCAGACAGAATATATAGCAAGAGTTCTCACAAGCACATGACTTGTAGCTGACAGTTACTTCTCCTTAAAGGTTCTATGGCTGCATGCTAGCTTAGACCATCTCCCAGTGGCACTGATGCCTCAGCTTCACTGCCCATTGAGGCACTTCTGCAAGATAAACTGAGGC